TTCGCGAGCCAGAGGGGCTGAGAGGCTCTGCACCCACGGGCCGTCGCTCGCCTCGTCACCGGTGTGCGGGAGCCCCGGGCCCCTGCCAGAGGCCGGCTCGTGTCCACCTTGGTCCTTCCAGGCGATTTCTGGGCTGCTTAGGTTCACGGTCCTTCCGAGTTCCAGTGCAGGGGCGGGCGCTGCAGGGTCGCCGTGGGGCAGCTGTGAGAGGTCGGAGCTGTGGCGGTGTGTCCTCTGCCCCACGCAGCCCTTCAGGGCTTCGCCCCCTTTAACACGAGGCTTTGTGAGGGGGCCCCAGAGGCTGCCCGGCCTCGTGACCGGGCCTGTGAGTGGCCCTGTCGACGTTCGCTGCTGTTCGTGGGGCGGACGTCAGTAGCTGCAAGGGAGCCTGGAAGACGGGGTCTAGCCGGGCGAGGAGGGGGGCAGGGCTCTGTACCAGCGGCAGGCGCCTGCGAGGAGTGGGGTGCGGCAGGTGGCAGCTCTGGCCAGGTCGCAGAGGCCTGAGTTCAGCCCTAGCTCGGCCACGTGTTGCCGGGTAACCTGGGCAAGGCCCTTCCTCTCTCCAGCCCCCGGGGTCTTCCTCTAATAAGTGGAGCGTTGGGGGAGGGAACATACAGGAATGGTGGCCGAGTCACGCTAACCCTAGGGCACCGCATGAAGCGGGGGCTCAGTCAGTGGCTGCTCACCTCTCATGATGAAGAAGTGGGGACGGGGAGGCAGGTTCTCGTTGGAACCTTGGCTGCAGATCCTGCTTGTCCATCGGCCCATCTATTCGCCCGTCCACCCAACCGCCCGCCCGTCCACCCAACCGCCCGTCCGTCCACCCAACCGTCCCTCTGTCCATCCAACCACCCACCCGTCGAACCAACCACCCGTTGGCCCAGCCAGCCACCGATCTTCCCGGGCATCCGTCCCCGCCCCCCCACCCTCGTCCACGTGTGCCGAGGGACGGCCATGTTCCGCGCTGGCCCATCTCCTGCAGCACACCAAGCCCCCTCAGCCGCATGGGACTGCGGGACCCCGTTCCTGTCCTGGGGGCCGCTGCTCACATGGGGGTCTGCGGGGGGCCACGCCAAGTTGGGGTGGGCATGTGGCGTCTGTGACAAGTCCGATGGCCGTGGCATAGGGGGGCCTGACCCTGCTCGTCCGGCTCGAGGTCCAGAGTCAGGCGCCTTTGGTCTGAGGAGCATGGTTTCACGACAGGAGAATTTGGGGGGAGGCTGCGCCATGGGGGCGGGAGGGGGGCGCCAACAGACGCTTCGTTTTATAGGACAGCCCCGCCCTACACGTGTGTCCGTGAGAGGAAGACGTGACGGGGGAGCGGAGCCGTCCCTGCTGCCCTCAGCGGGCACCCCTGTGCTGTGTGCCGGCCCTTTGAAGGACCCGGTGTCTTTAAAAATGAGACCACATTTCCCTCTCATCCACGTTTTACAACCTGTTTCTTTCATTAGGGTGTTTGCGGAAACGTTGCCGCAGTAAGTCCCCGCCCACTTGCTGCCCGCGGCCCCGGGTCGCCCCGCGTGGGCGCGCCCGCCGCCATTTCCCTCCCGCTGTTTCTCAGCCGGGCGGCTGCCGGGTTGTCGGTGTCCGCCGGCTGCTGCGGTGCAGGCGTCTGGGACCGAACCGCTCCACACACCCAGAGCAAAATCTCTGTCGTCCTTAGCGATGCCCCCTGAGGGTGCGCGCGGCAGCGTGCCCCGGACCCCAGTCGGCACGGCGCCCCTGCGGACGGGGCCCGGGAGCCACCAGGAGCACCCTCCTGCGGCGAACCTGGGCGGGCGCCTCGCGGCCGCTCTCGGATGTGCCGGCCCTTTGCGAGGGCGCTGGGCGGCGAGGTCCCCGGGCGCCCGTGGCGGGCGCCCCGACGCACGTCTGAGGCCGGCGTTCAGCTCTGCTCAGCCCCCCGGAGCCTGAGAGCAGACACGGGGTACATTACGGCGGGGGCTTCTGGGCTGGACGCTGGAGCTCCAGGCGGTGGCACCCGGTGGTCGCAGGTCCCGCTGCCGCATCCTCACAGCCGCCCCCGCCCCCCGCGTGTGAGGGTGAGAAGGCCCGGCAGGGACGAGGATGGGCGGACCCGGGGGGGCGGCGAGGGCTCGCTCCCTCCGGCCGGGGCGGGTTCCCAGCCCCCTGCCCCGAAGGGTTTGCTGGCGGCCACAGCGGGCCATCCGGGCCCCTCTGGGATGTGTCCCTCAGGCCGCCTGCCTGCCTCTCCGTGCCTGGGCAGGGTTAGAAGCGGGAGTTTTGAGCCCAGCACCGGGGCCCTGCCTTGTCTTGGGGGCCCACGGGGTCAGCGGCTCAACGTCTTCGGCCTGTTGCCTGTCCGAGAAGGCAGTGCACCCTTAGGGTGGGGGTCCTTGGGACCCCGTTCTGGAACCATGGGCTTGCGGTGCTCTGCCCTGGACCCCACCCTGCAGGAGTGGGGCAGCACGGTGACCGAGCCGGTGCCGTTGCCTGTCTGACCCCCGGGCCGCACTCCTGAGCCACGGGGGGCCTTGGACGTACACGCAGGTTCCCGGGCCCCGCCCCGTCCCACTGGGAACCTGCAGGGACGCGGGGGGAGGTCTGTGTTCCCAAGTGCCGCCCGTGAACGTGAGGGAGCTGATGGGCTGCAGGTGTTGGACACCCAGACCCGCTGGGGAGCCGGGGTCAGGGGGGCCACGGCCGGGGTGGAGCGGCAGCGGCAGGGGCCAAGCCTGCGCCCCAGGGTCCCGGCCTCAGGCCGTGATGTCCTGCCCTCAAGCCTGCCCCGTCCGCTCCTTGTTCCCTCGCTGAGTATTAAAGGCGCCGCTGATGTTAAAGGTCATGCGAGGCCGAGGGTGGCAGGGGCATCAGGGCACAGCGTGGGCGGGGGCCCCGGGGAGCCGGCTCCCGGGAGCAGGTCTTTGTCCCCGCGCCCCCTGACCCCGCCCCAGAATGAAGCTCTGCGGGCCCGGGGGTCCCAGGGGGAGCGGGCGCCGCGGGCCCAGAGGACTGAGCTTGGGTGTGCGGTGGGGGTGGGGACCGGAGGAGGGGCAGGTGTGTGTGTGTGTCTTCATCTCATTTATTAACTGGGACAGAGACGAGAGGCGGACGTGAAGTTGGGAAAATGTCATCCTTTGACATTTGCGTTTTCAGAAGAGAGGCAGGTCTGTGGGGAGAGGGTTGGAACACGTCTCCAGAGCGGCGCCTCCGGGGAAGCCCAGCCCCTGCGGGTGGTGCCGCCTGCTCCACGCGCTTTCTCAAGGGCTCGCCTCACCGCCGTCTCGGGTCTCACATCTGCCCCCCGCAGCGCGGTCCCGGGGCTCCGGGGCGGGTCGTCCTGCCGTCTCGCACGACACCGGCGGGGAGCGCGTGGCCCAGGCAGGGCGGGAGCGGCGCTGGGCTCGTTGACCCCGTGGAAGGCGCCGCGCTGTGTGGACGGGACCGTGGAGCTGGGCCCGGCGCCGGCCGCTAGCGACAGGCTGCGCTCGGAGCCAAGTGGCTACGGTGTCAGGGCCGGGTCTGCCGGGGCCACGCCGGCGGGGGGCCGCTCTGCGCCTGGGGCCTGGGCCCACGGACGTGTCGGGGCCCATCTGCTGCTGGCGGCTCCCTCGCTGCGGCTGCTCCCCCACGTGCGTAGCTCCGCCTTCACGCCCGATGCAGGTGGGCGCCCGGGTTGGGCCTCCTGTGCCAGCGCTGCTCGGTGGCGGGCGCCTCGGCTGCCCGGGCGGAGGGCTCGTGGGGAGGAGGGTGGCGGTTGGCCCGTGACGCCTGGCACAGCCAGGGGGCGAGAGGGGCGGCTCGTGGGCCCGGAGTCGCCAAGCGCCCCCAGCGCCAACCTTTCTGGCGCGTCAGACGACCGGGAGGGCACACGGCAGTGTTGCTCTAACGTCTGCTCTCTGTAAATATTTAGAGCTCTCAAAAGCCAAGAGTAGCAGCCGAAGCCCAGGTGCTTGTGAGAGACCCCCGGGCTCCCGAGCCTGGCGGCCCGGCTGGGCAGCTGCTGCAGGATAAGCCACTGGGTCTCGCCTGAGGACACGCAGATGAGACGAGCCCGGTCACTCCTCAGGGTCACGGCCTCTGGGGGTCCCCGCGCCCGGAGCTCAGCCACGCAGCCTGCGGCTTGTTGGCCACGGCCCTGTCTCGGGGGCCGAGGAGCGGCCCTCGGGTTCGGTTCGGGCTTTGCCCCCGCGCCGTGGGAAACTTGCTGCTGGAAGGAGAGCACCCCGAAAGGAGCGTCCGAGCCGGGCAAGCGGCCGACCTGTTCTCCTGTCTCCCCAGCGCGCACGGTGGGACGGGCCTCGGCGGGTGTGAGGGCGCCCCGCACCCGGCCGGCGCGTCTGGATGGAGCAAGCGCTCACCCCGGGCCGTGTTCTGGTTCTGTGTCCCCATGTACTCGCATGTGTGTGCCCATGCAAGCTCACGTGCAAGGTACACACAAGTGCGTGCACACACACGTGAACGCGCAAACGCTCTCACGCCGCGAAGCCTGCAGGTTGAGGCTGGGCTCCGCGTCTTCTGTGTCCCTGTGGGTCCTGCCAGGGTCGTGAGCAGCTTCTCGCTGTGCTGCAGTGTGTTGGGCTGTGCGCCCCCTCCCTGCCTCGGTGTCCCCACGGTCGCCTGCGGAGCCTGATGCCTGCCTCCCTGGGGCTTTTGGAGCCGGGGGGAGGTGGGTGCTGCGGTGGCCAGCAGGGCCGAGGTGGGGCTCGGCCGAGAGAGGAGCGGACCTGGTCGCCCAGCATTTCACAGCTCGCCTCCCGACAAGCCTGCCGGCCCCGGCACCCCCTGCAGGACCCCCGCGCCCCTGAGCCTGCGCCAGCAGCCGGGCAGCCCCCCGATATCGGTGCGCCCGGACTCCAAATCCTGCACAATCTGTACCGCGCAGGGGCCTGGCCTGGGTAGGCGGTGCTGCTTTCTTCTCCCCCCGAAGACGAAGTGGACTCCGTGTCCAGTGCTCTCTTTCTACGGAGCTTTTCAGGGCAGCTGTGTTGCGACGTCTGTTTTCTCATGAAATTACAGGTCTTTCCCTCTCCCCCCAGGTCATCTCTGCGGTGTCCAGGCTGTCCCTGCACAATGTGGCCCAGAACAAAGGGATCAGGTAAGTCCCCCGGGGCGCACGCCCCCCCACCTCCGCCCACCTGGGCTCAGAGGCCGGACCCTCCGGCTGCCGTCCCCACCTCTGCCTGTTGGTGGCGCCGGCGGGGCGGGGAGGAGGGGGAGGCTGCTGTGCGCTCGCCCCAGGAAAGCCCTGCGAGGTCTCTCCCGCTGCAGGCGATAAGGTCAGCGGAGGCCTCCTGCCACAGGTCGCGGCTGCGTGTGGGGGTGGGGGAGCGGGCTGGCGCCTGTGGGTAACGGCCGGCAGAGCAAGGGGGCCGGCCCGCATGGGGTCCTCGGCAGGACGGTCTCGCGTGGATTTCCTTCCGCTTAGAGTCCCGTGACCCCCTGCGGTGCGGCCGCTCATCTCGGCCGGGGACGGGCCACCCCGCGCGTGGGGCGGGGAGAAGGGCAGCCCCGCACGACCGCCGGCCGGTGCGGTCCTGGGCCCCCCACCAGGGTCGGGGGGCGTCGGACGGGCGAGCGGGTCCCAGGCCGGGTAGGGGCGCTCGCAGGAACTGCGCTTTCTGGATGCTTTGGGAGGACATGGCCTAGCGGGGGCGGGGGGGGTGTGGAAATGGCCCCCTGCACCCTGAGGTGTGGGTCCGTCCTGTTGTCCGGGGGCTGCGGCCTGCCTGTACCCTGGGGGTCCCAGGCCCGCGGTGCCCGGTGGGCCAGGGCCGGCACGGCCGCCCCGTGGTGCGGCCGTGGGCTCCGGTTCCGCGTCACAGGCGCAGAAGCTGCCGTCAGGGACTGACGTCACCGGTGGGTCCTCCAAGGACTTAGAAATTCCATCGAAATGAAGATTAAAAAGAAAAGCACATCAGACACACGACAGTCTGTTTAGAAATGTTTCGAAACTACACGTTAAACACGTACAAAAGGATATTTATAGCTTAGAGCATAAAGACCGACAGGAGGCAGAGCCCCTGTCCCCGCGCCCAGCGTGTGCCCTAATGTCGCCGAGCCCCGAGGCCCGGCGGCTCGGCCGTCTCCGGCGGGGGCGGCGGACGGGGCGCTGGGATCCGGCGGTGCCGACGCTGCCTCAGAAAAGGCGAGCCGTTTCTGGACTCACAGGCCCCACGGGGTTCCTCTGCGCCGCTCTCCCCAGAGCGACCGTCTGCTCCTTGTCCCCGGCCGCGGCGACGCCTGGTGTGGTGGTTTGCCTGCCCAGCTCGCCTCCCCCACGCCCTTATCTGCCTGCACGTCCGCACACCCGCGAAGGCAGGCAGGAGGTTTGTGGAACCGTCCATCGTCCTACTTGCTCTTCCCCTCTTTCCCGTGATGCTCGAGTGGCATCCCTTCTCCAGAGTCCGTTAACGTCCCCCGCGAGGGGCCCTGGGGCCGGGAGCCCCGTGAGGTTCCCGGGGCGGACGGGCGGCGGGCCTGGCCTCCCCGCCGGCCCCTCCCCCCGCGGCCGGCCGCGCCCGGCTGCCGGCTCTGAGGGCCTCTGCCACCCGGGCTGCACAGCGGGCTCCCAGGGGGTGAAGCTTCGGCGAGCTGGCTGTGCGTCTGTCCCTGGCCTGCGTCCTGCTCTCCGGTTGGTGTAAAGTCCTTCGAAGGGGGGTGCCTTCTCCTGCCACCCCCACACCCCAAAGGGGCCAGTGCCGCAGCCCGGGCTTTGCTACAGTGCGGGGGCTGGTGGGGGGCAAGGCGGAAGCACGCCGCCAGCCCTGCGCGCTGGGCCCCGGCAACCCACCCTCTCTCCTCTGAAGCCCGGGAGCCCCCGGGAACGAAGCCCCAGCCGCGAAGGCCGCGTCCTCTGGGGAGACGGCGGGCAGAGAGGGTGCAGGTGTGGGCTGCGGCCGTGGTGGGACCCGCGTCCCGCCTCGCTGGAGCCTCGTGCGGGTGGGGCTGCTCGCTGCCTCTGCCCCGAGACGTGGGTGACCCGGCGTGACACAGGGGCTTCTCTGGGCTGCCGGAGACGAGGCTTAGCTCAGGATTGGCCCAGACGAGGGCTCAGCAAATATTGTTTGTTTCAGTAGCAGAAACGGAGTGTTGGGGGGCCCCGAGAACCCCCCGGCTCTGGGCCTGCAGGAAGGACGCCCAGCCAGGAGGCCGCTGTCCTCGCGGGCACGGTCCCGGGTCACCTCAGGAGGGGGCCGACGGAGGCTTGGCGGGGGAGGGGGCAGGCCGGGCTCTGGCCCCACTTCTCCCCTCCCAGCAGGGTCGCGGGGGTGACAGTTCTCTCGGACGGTGTGTGACAACCTGCGTGGGCTGTTGGCAGCCAGGGGAGCCCCCACCCCGAGCTTCGGCGTCCGGGTTCTCGCTGGGAGTCTGTCCCGCAGACACGGCTGACCACCCACACGGTTGACCGCGGTCTCCGGCCGCTGCAGAGCGGGGCCGCCCCCTGGGGCCCAGGCCCCCCTCCAAACGCTTCACTAGCAGAGACTCCGCGGCTGGGCCCACGGCCCCGGTGACACAGACACTCACATCAGGCAGGGCGTCCCCGGGCTCAGAGGCTTCCCCCCGGGAGCCGGGGCGGACACCCCGGGTCTGCTGAGGGAGCCGTGACTCCCGCCGGAGGAGGCGGAGGGGCAGGAGGCGGGTTAGCGGACGAGAGGGTCCGGGCCCGCGGGCGTGGGGTGCCTGTGCTGGCAGACGCCCCCCGCACCCCCACCTCGCTGCTCCGCCGCTGCCCGTGCTCCCCCTCCCCGTCTGGGCCCCCATCCAGAGCTTTCCCGGGGTCCTTCCCCCGCCCCCCAGGCCCGGCAGCCTGTGCTCCGTGGTCCCCTCCGTGCAGCGTGAGGTGTTCCGGTCGCCCCCCGGTCCGCGACCCCCGAGAGGGCCCCACAGGCCGCCGGACGTTGCACGGGGTGCCCCCCAGGCTCTTCGGCTGCGAGGGCTCCTGCGGTCACGGGTCCTTCCTCGTTTCACGGCTGGATGGGAGCCCAACACGCTCCTTCAGAAACGACGGCTTACTCCCCACCGGGGCTTCCCCTAAGGAGCCGCGAGAGCCCAGCCGCACCTCTGGGGCGGATGAGCAGGAGGCTTCCTCGGAGGGCCCGCCCTGGTGCCCGCCAGAGGCTCAGCGGAGAGGCGGGGGTGGCCCGTGTCAGCCCCTCCAGCTCCGCGTGTGGGACGCGGGGCCCCGGTGCAGCCAGCGCTGGTCCCCCCGGCTGCGGGTCGTCCTCGTTCGGGGTCGGCACAGCCAAGTGGCTGGAAGCGGGGGACACGGCAGAGGGCAGGGCTGTGTGAGAGAAGCCGAAAGGGGAGGCTCAAGAGCCCTCACCCACGAGGTCCCCTCTGGCAGCCACCTGCCTGCCCGGCGCCCTTGGGCAGGATGCTGCCGGGGCTGCGTTTGAGAGGGGCCGGGGGCACCGCGGCTGCGTGGGCTGATATCTCTGCCCAGGGCCGAGGCAGGGTCCACGCTCCGCAGCGCCCAGCAAGCTGGAACTTTCTCTTTCAATTTGAAGCGAATTCCTAGACTGTCAAACACACCCCTTCCAGGCCTAAGCCCAGGAGAACATTCTGCGACTGAAAGGAGAGCCTCTGGTCCCGAGGTGGCCGCGGGGGACCGTTCTCTGGGCTCCCCGCTGCCCGGAGTGTGGCTTGGGAGCCTCACCGCGCCCCCCGCCCCAGACGCCCTTGTGAGTCCCGTCGGCCCGTGGCTCCGCGGGGTCTCCTGGTTCCACTCCTGACGGGCGACTGCCTCTTGTCTCCAGTGCCTGGGGGTGCCCTGGCGCCCAGCTCAGCAAGCCCGTCCGCCTGGCTGGTGGGGGTGCCCTTGAGTCCCTGCCCCCAAACCTTCCCCAGTCGCCTGGATGGCTGATTACCTCGGAAGCCAGCCGACTCCGGCACGGGTCCCCTCCTGAGGGCCTGGGACCGGCTTCAGGGCACCCGGGCCCCGCCCGCGGCGTGTGCATCTCGGAGGGCCTCGCTGCCCTGGGCCCTGCTGCGCGGGAAGCCGCCGCCCCTCCCCCAGCCTTTCCGGTGTCCGCAGACTCCGGCCCGGAGGCCTCGCTCTTGCGCCCCAGCGCCCTCCACCGTTTGCTGCTCGGGCCGGCACCATCCCTCTCCTGCCTGGTGCCGCCTGGTTCATTCCTGGCAACCGGAACCTGCAGCGGGGGAGGAGGCCGGGACGGGGGTGGCCAGCTCCGGGTGCGTATTGGCCGCTTAGCCTGCCAGCAAGATGTGTTAATCGCCCCACCTGGTGGCACCGAGGGTCCTCGCCACCTGTCCTTGCTGAGCTCGCGGCGGGGGGCAGGCTGGCCCCGTGGCCCCCAGGCCAGCCTCACAGAAGAGCCTGCGTTCCTCTCCCGATGACACTAGCGTCGGCCTCGCCTGTGCTGGCCATCGGCGTGGGCGGGGACGGCCCCGAGCCTTGGCCCCGCTTGCCCAGGCGACCGACAGCTCAGGGCGGATGGCGTCGGGTGAGAGCTGAGCCTGGCTCCGCCGCCGCCTCACCCTGCGGCCACGGCTGGACGTCCCCGCCCCACACCAGCCCGGCCGAGCGTGGGCCCACAGGCCCGTCCATACGTGTGTGCCCGCGTCTGTGCTCCCCCCCCCCCCCACGCGTGCCCTGGTCTCCTCCCCACGCCCCTGCTTCAGCCCTGTGAGCTCCCGGGGGCTCGCCCGTTTCCCCGCCCGGGTTTCTGGGCATCCCGCCAGCCGAATGGGGACCTGGGGCCGCCCCGGCTGGGGCAGCTGCTGCCTGTAGGCCCCAGGTCCTTCCTGGGGGCTCTGCTGAAGGTTCTAGAAGGGAGGGTGCCGGGCTGCCCTGGCTGGGAGGTGCGGGAGGAAGGAGGGGAGGGGCAGAAAGGCCCGGTCCATTTTGTCTCCTTGGGTTTAAGGGCCCCAGTGAGGGCGCGGCAGCCAGGGCGGCCCTGGGCGGGGGCGGGGCTGCACAGCGTGCTTGGCGCCTGCTTCCCGCGCGGCCCTGCTTCCGTGGAGCAGACAGGGCGGCCCTGCCCGCTCTGGCCCCACGGGCGGGAGTGTCACCCCAGAGAGCTTCCCGCGGCCCGGGCCCCGGGGAGTGCCGCCTGCCTCTGGGCCCCGGCCGCC